GAATTGGAAAATTATTTGCTGATAACATGTATGTTGATGTGCTTGATTGAGCCAATACACAGTGTATTTTGGATGGAAAATTCATTTGTATGCTGTAATGATGTATAGTGAATTAATGTAAAAAATAAATAAATTTAAAGAGAAAAAAAAAAAAGAAAGAAAACCATCAGGTCCGGGATTCGAACTGTTGTCGGCCATGGGGGAGTCCAGCACTCTTAATCCCCACGATACCTGCCAGCCCCAAATTATTCTATTCTTAGTGAAACTATGCTAAATTTAATTTCTGTAAAGTTTTTATTTTAGCAGCCAGTGAGAGAATGAAAGCAAAAGAGGAATGAAGAAGGAACTCTATCTGAGTGAGGGTCACATCCTCTGTGGGGACTCCACAGCTGCTTCTCACACTGGATTTTGTGGCTGCCTCTGCTGTCACTGGTTTTGGCTTCTCCTATTCAAAACTGAGCATCCAACCACAGTCAGAAATCCAAGTGCCATAGTTGCACTTCCTCCAATCAGGGCCACTTGCACCTACAACACAAGTGCTTTTGTTGAGAGGTCATGGTAGGCAGGCTCTTTCTCTGTCTTCAGTGTCTGGAAGCTGCTTGTATTCCCCTGCCCACCCCAGCTATCGGGCCTCTCCTCTTCTGACCCCAGACCCCTCACAGCTTGCTGGCCCAGAGTCTCCCAGGGAGGATGCTGACTGTCTCTAGGAGCTCCATTTCCTGGGTTGTGACCACTCCTGGTGTTGGACATGTCCTAAGAATGAGTTGATGTAAAGAATCCTTTTGAGTAGGTGTCCTAGCTGAGGACATTCTTTCCTGATTTAGGGTTGGGCAGGGAAAAGAATTTGTGCCTGGTTTCCTGAGACCAGAGCTCTAAGTCCCAGACTGGGGCCTGTTTTGCAGTGTGGGTTCTACTGGAGCTACCTGCTGCAGAGGGAGGGCTGTGGCAGAAGCTGAGGGGAGAGAGAGGGAGATCATGGCACAGGTGGTGCACTTTGGGTTCCCTGTGACTATTCACAGGTGCAGTCTGGCATTTCTATCTGCAGTCCCACCTCAGGCCTGAACTCCAATTCTATTCCACCCTCCACTTGAATGTCTAATGCTAACCTCTCATGCCCATGCCAAACTCTTGATTTCCTCCCAGACCTGCTCTTTTCACCATCATCCCCATCTCATGGAGAGCCCCATCTACATATCTCTCAGGCCAGTGGCATTAGAGGGCTGCAGTAATGGGCAGACTCTAGGAGGGACAGCTGACTCTGGCTCTTTTTAGCTCTATGTTTTGGAACAATAAATTTGAAGGCCAAGGAAGAGAAGGGGTTAGAAGCTGTACTCAGATTTTACCTGAAAATGTGACAGAGCTCTTCTTGTAGGACCACAGACCCTGAGCCCTCTCTCCCTGAATTTTCTTTGAGAACTTAGGGCATGTTGTGTTCCTGGGTTGGCCTGAATGCTCCTAATGACCCATCGGCCTTCAGAAACTGCTTTCAGAGTGGATCTCAGGCAATGACTTCCAGAATACCAGAGCTGGCCAGGCCTTCAGAGGTCCTCTGCACATTGGAATCTGAGGGCCTTAGGGAACATGTCTAATGACTCTCCATGAATAAGAAACTGATCGGGTATGTGAGCTTAGACATCCTTACTCCCAGCCAGCTGGTCTCAGAGAGGCAGGCTTTGCATCATTTATGGTGACTCTCCCCTCTGGCTGCACAGCCCAGCCAGCCCCAGTCCAAGCCGACTTTCCCAAGGGATAGGTCACCAGGGAGGTCTTACCTGTCTGCTGCATGGTGTGCCGTATCTGAGGTCAGTGACAAAGTGCTCACAGTTTTTGGTCAGAACACAGTATTCCATCTCCTCACCAACCTTCTCCTTCGCAGAACTGATGATCTCCTCCACAGGCCTTGGTCTGTACCGGTGGTCCAAGTAGTTGTTGATCTGGTAGTCGCAGTTCCCTACCACATCCTTCAGGCGCTCCTGTTTCACCACCGCCCTGCTGCTCAGAACGGAGAAGATGCTGGAGGAGCCAGCCCCGGCGTACTCACCTTGAACCAGAGATACTCTCATTGGGAGATGTGGAGGAGGGAGCAGTAGGAAGGGAAGGGTTCAAGATGGGAAGTACAAAAGGAATCTACTACCAGGTTTTGGTTGTTAATCCTTTCACAAATGTGATCAGAAGACTCACAAATGTCTTTTTTCTTAGTAAAATGTGAATACTTTTTAAGTTAATGCCATGATTGTCAATGGTGGCTACATTTATGTATCCAATCCCTTATTATCAGTCATTTAAGTATTTTATGTATTTATTTATTTATTTTGGCCACAGGGTCAATGGATTTGTCAGAGAGACAGAGTGAGAGAGAGAACCACTCAATAAGAATGTGATCAGATCTCAATTCTTCTCCCTCCCTCTCCTCATCCCCAGGATTTTGGGCAGACACACACCCATGCCCCGTGTGTTCTTCAGTTTGCCAGATACGGCATTCAAACTGCAGTCAGCCATGTGGGATCTGGTCCCTATGCTCTGTGCTTAACTACAGCACTGTGAAGCCAGCTTTGACAAATTTTCACTCTTATAAATAATGATGGCAAAACATATTTGTTGTTTATCTTTGTACACTGTATTTCAAAAGGTATCACGTTTCTTAGTAACTGCTGTGTTTCAGAATCAATGTTTCACAGTTTTTCATAATTATGTAACTTAATCTCCTTTTTAGCTTTCAAGGAAAGAATTCCTGAAAATCTCTTTTTAACAAGTAACACTGGGCCAAGAGAGATATTTTGCTGTGAAGAGTGTTAGGCCAGGATGAGAAACTATTCTTCTCAAGCTCCAAGGAACATGCTCCTTCCACTGTGCTGAGCTGAACCTTCCCTAAAGGGAATCCTTCCTATAAGTTTCTTTTGTCCTGTGGCCCAGCACAGTTTTGGGCACATAGATAAGTTCATGACAGAGCTAGCAACTGATAGAGCCAAGATTCTATTCTAAGATAAGTTCAGGTTTTGTTTTTTAGAGCGAGGGTAGCTAATTAGCACAATAATTAGGCATCCCCCAACGCCTGCACATTTCTTTTCTTTTTTCTTTTTATTTTTTGCCATAGGACACACACACTCACGGAACACACACACACACACACACACACACACACAGAGAAAGTGAGCAATCATCTCTCAAGGGGGTGGCCACACCACAATCTCTTCTCCTCCATGTTCCTCTTGGGATTTGGGGTCTGGTACTCAAACTGTGGTCAGCTATGTGGGACCTTAACTACCATGCCACCTGCTGTCCCCAACCCCCGGACATTTCTAATCTCAAGGCTAGTGTTTACACTTAGAAGTTTCTTAAGAAAAATCTTTTTGACAAAATTATCCACTCTTTTTGTCGAAGTTAGGCATAAAAAGACCATGTGGCTTCACTGTCATGCTTTGTTTTACAAGGTTCCTAATGGTAATCTGGATGATGTGGGCTTGATTTTCTACTTACCATCAATTCTGAAGTTTTTACACCTCTATCAAAGCAGATGATAACCTTTAAAATCATAGATGGCTGGCTTTATGACCTGGTGGTTAAGGCAGCTGGATCCCACATGGCTGACTGCACTGTTCGAGTTCTAGACCTGGTGGCTTGAGAAACATGCCAGGCACATGTGCATGCCCAAAATTCCAAAAGGAGGGAGAGGAATAGTGGTGTGATCATTCTCCATTGTGGGTGCTGTCTCCTCTACTTCTCGAGGTGTGTCTCGGTCTCCCTTTAGCAAGTGCATGTGCCCTCTAGCAAGGAAAACGAAACCAAAACCAACATAGCCTCTTGAAAAACTTGGCTGGTTTAAGAATATTGGACTCTGCATAGCAGAGACAACTGGCTTTGAGCTGGAAGAACAAATGCTGAAGCAGCCCAGTGTCACGGTGGGAGTCAATGGCTCCCTTTCCTGCTCTACTAGGACTATGGTTTTTTCTAGGCCAGCAATTTTCTCTTCTATGTCTGAGATTCTATTTTCTGTATGTTCTAGTCTGCTTTTAATATTTTCAAGGGAGATTTTGACTTCCTGTATTATAGCCTTCATCTCTAACAGTTCCATTTGATTCTTTTGTAAAGTGTGTAATTCCTCTTTTAGATCTTGCAAGAATTTCCTCACCTCCTGGAACTCATCAGCTCCTTTCTCCTTTCTCTTCTGAAGTTCATTGTCTCTCTTCTCGTCCATCTCTGTTAGCTTCGCCATTATGAATATTCTAAATTCTTTATCAGACATTTCCATGATTTCCATGGAACTGTCTCTGGATAAAGAGGAGTTATTCTTTTCCCTTGGAGGAGAGGTATTTTCTTGCTTCCCCATATTTCTTGTGGCCCTGCAGTGATTTCTAGTCATCTGATGGATGTGCTTCTTCCTAAACTTGAAGTTCAATCTGAGCATTGAGGAATGTGTAGAAAAGGAAACAAAGAGAGAAACGACAGCAACAAAAACAACTAAGAAACAGAGAAAAAGAGAAGAAAAAAACTAAAAAAAAATATTTTTCTAAAAAAAGCAAAAATTAGAAAATTAGAAATCACTAGTTCTCAGGAGCCATGAAGGTGTCTTCAAGAAGGCCTGTTCCCTTGCCTCTCCTGGGTTAGAAGGGGGAGAGGGGATTATTAACAAGATAAAAGGAAAGGAGGGGCTGAAAGCCCAGAAAATGCTTTACCTTAAAAAACTTTAAAAAAGGAAAAATTACCAAAAAATGAGGAGACAGAGACAGAAGTAGAGAGAAACAGAGACAGAGACAGGAGGCTTGAAAGTCTTCCTACCACTCGAGTTTGTGGGCTGGAGGCTGAATTATCAGTGGAAAATCTTCATTTTTCTTATTCTCCTGAAATCACTAGTTCTCAGGAGCTATGAATGTATCTTCAAGAAGGCCTGTTCCCTTGCCTCTCCACGCGAGTTTGCGGGCTAGAGGCTGAATTATCAGTGGAAAATCTTTACTTCTCTTATTCCCCTCCCACCATTTGTTTTTAAGTTGACTTTATTGGGGTATAATTTACAGATAGTGAAATTCTTTGTTTTTCTAACTAGACCTATACATTTTGACAAATGTATAATTACATAATCACTACCACAATCAAGATACAGGATATTTTCATCATCTCTGAAAGTTCCTCATATAGTCAATTGTAGTCCATTTTTTTCCTACTCCTGGCCCCAGGCAACCAGTGATTGGAGTTCTGTCTCCTTATAGTTTGCCTTTTCCAAAATGTAATGCAACTGGCATCTATCAAATGTAGTCTTTTGGGTCTGGAGTCTTTCGCCTAACAAAACTTATTTGTTACTTCCTTGTTTTGATATTTTATCTATGCTGCTACATGAATCAGTAAAACTTACTACTTACATTCACTGGTAATATTCCATTATATGGATGTACTACAGTTTGTCTATCCATTCACTTGTTGATAGACCTTTGGATGATTTCCAGTTTGGGGTTATTATAGAGTCACTGTGAACATTCAAATGCAGATGTTTTGTTGGGATATATTTTCATTTCACTTGGGTAAATTTAAAGTGGGACTGCTGGTCATATGGTAAGTACATGTTAACATTTATAGTAACTGCCAAACAACAAACCAGTCTTCCTTGTGTCGCTGGACTCCCATGTAGTTGACTGTGGTTCGAGTCCCAGACCCAGCAGCTTTCACTCACACTGGGCATGTGTGTGTGCATGCCTAAGATTCTGAGAGGAGAATGGAGGAGAAGGGACTGTGGTGTGGCCATGCCTCATGGGGAGGCAGTGATTTCTCGCTTTCTGTCTCTCTGTCTCTCTGGTGAGCACACATGCCCTATTGAAAAAAAAAACTCTCAACAAAAGAGAAAAGATCATAGCGTATATTTATTGTTATTACATGTGTTTTATAGCTTGTATTTTATGTATTGGGTCTTTGGAAAAGACATGATGCATATTTGCATAGAAAAACAGAGGAAAACAAATCATGATTTTTCTGACAATCCAATAGTATACATAATACATGTTGAGCATTCCTAATCTGAAAATCTAAAGTCTGAAATGCTCCAAAAATATGAAACTTTTCAGCACCAATCTGATGCCGTAAATGAAGAATTCCACACCTGACCTCATGTGACAGTTTATAGTCAAAACACCAAGATAGAAAAATATTGTATAAAATTACCTTCTGCCTGAGTATAAGCTATATATATAAAACATAAATGATTTATGTTTAAATTTGAGTCTCATCATCCCCAAGACATATCATCACATATATGCAAATATTCCAAAAATCCAAAATAAATCCCAAAGTCCAAAACTTCCAGGTATTTTGGATAAGGGATACTCAACCAGAGCATATAGTATTATATACTTAACCTATGTATAATAATTACTAAATTATTGTTTCTTATTTAATCCTTGTTTCTTTGGTATTGTTTCCTCTTTTTCCTTGTCCATACTTTTCAATTTGCAAAGTTCTTTGATTTCCGCCAGGCCACCTCCTGCTGGCAGTTCTAGTGTGCATGAGTGCATGGGGTATAACGTTAAAAGCCGTACATCCACAGACAGAATCCCTGGATTCTAATTCTGGTACCATTATTTGCCAGCTGCATGATCTGGGTAAAAATGACTTAAAAATAGGATCTTAATAATATCTATTAGTCTTAGAGACTGTGGCTATCCACCCAAATCCACTCTTCCTGTCTTTCTTTCTTTCTTTTTTTTTCCTTGACAGACTTTTGTTATAGGGTGTGTATGCTCGCTGGAGAGACAGAGAGACAGAAAGAGAGAATACCCCCCCCCTCCCAGGGAAGAAGGGCAATCCCTTCTCCTCCATTCTCCTCTCAGGATCTCAGGCATGCACACACATGAGCCTGTGTTTTAAACTGTCGGGTCCAGGACTCAAACTGAGTCAGCTATGTGGGGTCCAGTGATGTAACCATTATGCCATCTGCTGGCTCCTCTCCCTGTCTTTCAAAGTAAAGAATTATAGGTAGGTACTCAATTATGGCGGTCCCACAGGAGAACTTTTCAAGCATCCCTTGCAGATAGTGTGTATGGGACACATGACTGAGTGTTATCCAATGAAATGTGAATGTAGAGAGTGTGTGACGATCCCAAGTCTGGGGCTTATGAAATCTGCTGAGTCTTGTTCACATTCTGTATTTGCCTTCTCAGAGGCTGAAACCTAGACAGGGCAGCAACCGAGCTTCAGCTCTTCAGGCAGTGATGACGCTTTGGGAGTGGTGGAATGGTCGATGGCCAGGACAAAACCTGAATGTCCGTGGGGAGCAGAGCTGCCCCACTGGCTTGCACTGTTTTCTGAAAAATTGCTGGATATGAATGAAATAAATGTCTAAATTCTTGAAGCCATGTGTTTTTGAGTTAGGCTAAAACTTGCTTTCCTGAGTCCAGTCTAGACCCTGAAGGAAGAGGGAGCCACACCCCGGGCTCCTGATAGAAGGAGGTGAGGAGCTGGAGGAGCCTTCACACCCTGTGTCTTCCCTCTGCTGCCAGGTCGGAAGCCCCTGCAGATGCGGTTCATGACCCCAACAGTGAACCAGGCCTCACACATGGTGCCAGTGGACAATTTAATGAAGGGAGGACAGGGGGCCACACCAGTGCCTTGGGTGTACTGTGGCCTTCGTCATTTCTAGCTGGATTTCTGGAGCCACCTCAGTAGTGGACACAGTAGAGTTGGACACTTCCACTGATCCGAAGCTCCCGTATCTGCTCCAGGGCTTGCTGGTCCAGGCTGGTGGCCCCTATCCCCTGCCCATTGAGTGCCAGCTTCAGCCCTCCCCCCTGGCAAAGAAGCAGTACCTGGAGAAGGGGGATGTGAGCAAACAGCAGGGTTCCAGAAGACCCCCTTGCCTGCCTAATGCTTTCAATGGTGAGACCCTCTTCCCCTCAGGGAACATAAGGACTAGACCCAACGGAGACAGTGCTGGAAAGAACAAGACGAGGGGCCCCGCTTGTCATCAGCTGACTGTTGGCCTTAGACAAGGATTTTCCCAGCCCTAGGCCTCAGTTTTGCCCTCTATAACCGGGGTTGCTTCCGGGTGATTCTCAACTCTGGCTCCACACTGGGATCATTATGAGGACTTTGCATTAATTAAATCCAAGTTTCTGGGCATGAGATCCTGGTATCAGTGTAGAGGGTTGAGGGTCAATCACCTCATGGATATTCTCTCTGCCTACCTGGCTCTGGCTTCCTACCCTATACTGCCTGTCCTGCCCACACACTCCAGGGTACACCCGAAAGTCCCCCAGATTGTCATGGGAATCCAGCTCTGCACTCCAACCTGGAGGGATATGATCATTTGGCTCTGACCCACCTCGAAGAATCGTTGAGGGTGAAAGAGAAAGGGGGCTGAGATCAGCTTCCTCCGTCCCCAGGGGGATATCCAGGCCAGAGTTCTGTCTGTGAACGAAGCCCTGAGTGTCACAAGAGCGTGGGCGGCCTCATCCTTCAGACTCAGAGTGAAGCTGAAGGAAGCAGCAAGAGAAGGGGGTCAACATGCATTGCCCTCAGGTCATTGGTCATCCTGAGAGGAGGGATGGACGTGGGAGAGAGTTTGCAAGATCTAGCAGATTCTCCTCCAAAAAGCAGCTTGAATAGCCTACGGCAGACTCAGGACTGGACACCTGGACACGTAAAGCTCCGAGGAGTGGCAAGAACACAAGTCTTAGATGGACCTAAGATCGAATCTCTGAGTTACCACCTACTGACCAGGGAACCATGGAGGGGGAATGAGTGTGAGGATGACCTAGTCTGAGTCTCAGTTTCTCCTCCTGAAATGAGGATAATTATGATGATAATAGTGGTAGATAACAATTATCAAATGCTATGTACCAGGTATTGTCTTAAGTGTTTGGCAAATAGCTTAGTGGTTAGAGAAGCGCTGCCCACTTTCAAACCTGACTCTGCTAGTTTCTAGTTTTGTGACCTTAGGCAAGCTGCTTAACCTCTCTGTGCTTGAGTTTCCTCACCTGTAATGTGGGATAATATACTTGTCTTGTGGGGTTAGTGTTCAAGAAGCAAATGAGTACGCATAAAGTGCTTCCTTAGAATAGCACCTGGCAAGTAATTACTCAAATGGCAGCTGTTGTTTTAAACATGTTTTTATACGGGTGAGTGGATGGCATAGTTGTTAAAGTGCTAGACCCTCACATGGTTCAAAGTGATTAGAATCCCAGATCTGGCAGCTTGAAACTCACACCAGGCACATGTGTGTGCATGCCCAATATTCCAGGAGGAGAATGGAGGAGAATGGAGGAGAAGGAGTGCAGTGTGGCCATCCACCTGGAGAGATGACTTCTCACTTTCTCTCTCTCTGTCTCTGGGCATGTGCCCTAGAGCAAAAATCTCTTTTAAAAGAAAAAAAAAAGTTATATAACACAATATTTAATTCAAAGAGTCACACACTTAGAAAAGGAACAAATGAGATAATTTACATAAAAACTGGCAAATACCTGGCCTGCAATAAGTGTTTGATAGATGTTGTTTGCCCTTTCTTAGTCTGTTCACAAATCCTGTGCTGTGAGGTTAATCAGTCCACTTAACCAGTAAGGACAGAAGTTACTTAAGAGTTACTCTGCTCTTAGTTTTGGGGTCTCAAGCTAAGGTGCGAATCCTTGCTGTTCAGTGATATACTTCATGCCTAACCAATAATTCACAGGCATGGGGACCAGCAGATGGTATAATGGTTATGTTGCTGGACTCCCATGTAGTTGACTGTGGTTCGAGTCCTGGACCCGGTAGCTTAAAACTCACGCTAGGTACGTGTGCGTGCACTCCCAAAATTCAGAGAGGAGAATGGAGGAGAAGGGATTGCACTGTGGCTATCCCCACTAGGAGGTGATTTCTTGCTTTCTCTCTGTCTCTCCAGCAAGTGCACACACCCTATAGTAAAAATCTCTCAAGAAAACCAAAACTGAAATCACAGGCATGATCGGGAACAGGCAGGGCAAGGGTTTAGTGAGATGCCAGTAACATAAAAAATAAAAACAAAATAAAAAAGGGGTAAAGCAAGAAGAACTTTGATGCTCCCCTTATTCTACCTCCGCCGATGTAATTCCACTGCCATCTACATCATTGGTGGAACACTTACAGTGTGCCAGGTGCTGTTTTTTTTTAGAATTATTTAATTCAATTAATTTATTATTATTCTTCAATTTGACCAGAGAGAGAGGGAGCATGAGAAGGCAAGCCCCCAGGTCTGGGACTTGAACCATGGCCGGTTATGTGGGAGTCCCTAACCACCACCACCTGCCAGCTTATGCCAGGTACTATTTTAAGTACCACCTTGAAATTGGCATAATTATTGTCCCTGTCTTAACTGATAAGGGAACTGAGGCACAGAGGAAAGAGTCACTAATACTGCATATGTGGCAAGTGTCCTGAGCAGATGTCCTCCCAGGCAATCTGGCCAAGAAAAGTCATACAATCCAATACATTTCCCTATGCAGGCAGGCAGGCAGGCTCACTTGCTCTTGCTTAACTGGATTTGAACTGCAGGTTTGGGTTTGAGCAACCCCTGTAGGAGAAGTTTGGCAGTGTACACTTAGTAATTGTCTCTCCAGGTTCCTGCCTGCAAGTACCAGCCCTCCTCTCTGGTGTAGGCTGTCTAGCTGTTTCCTAAACCAAGCAGGTGTCTCTGTAGGAAGCCACATTCTTTCTCTAGGTCACAGCCTGTAGCTTCAAAAGGCTTTTTCCTGGAACCTGTGATGAGGGACTAGCTGGCCTAAGCACAATAGATATACCAATAGGAAAGATGCATCCAGAAGTGGGGCTGTTTATCCCAGTCTTAGCCTGATTTTTGTAAGCTCTGCAACCTTTGGTAACTTACCTCTTCTTTCCTCATCTATAAAATGGAATTAAATGGTGGCATTGGGAGATTACAAAGGGTGATGGTCCCCTGCCCCTGGATCTGTTTGCTGGATACTTACTCTTTTGGCTCTTGCAAGACCAGTCCTCGTACTACGATGACCTGCTCAGGCCAGAGACCCCGGAGAAGAGCATGAGAGGAGGGCACTGCCTGAAGGAACATGGCAGATGACTGAGAAGGCAGCTCACAGGGGGATCAGGGCATGCCCCCAGGAGCCAGGGAGCACCAGGCGGGCAAGTTCCTGCCTTTAGCCATAGCCAGGAGACTCAGCTTTGCTCAGATTCCATACCAACTGCATGCTGGGCTCCTGAACTCTGTTCCTTTTTCCTGCTGAGACCTTTGGCCTGTGCAGGCTGAGCTCAGTGCCTCCTCTGTGCCCTGAGTACCATGTACTTCTATTTGGTCTACAATGGCCATTCAGTGGTCTGTATCCCCCTAGTAGCCTGCGAGCAACTGGAGGTCTGGGACTGGCTTGTCTCTCTGTCCTGGAGCCTGGCACAGAGAAGGATCAAACAACTGCAGAATAAGTGGGGAGAAGGTAAAATGAAGCATATCTTCAGCCTGAAGCTACCTGGCCCACCTGTGGTCTGCAGCTTTCTATGAAGGAAGGGGAAGCCTTGAAGTTGAGGGCGTTTCTCACAACATGGAGCTCCTCAGCCTCCCACTTAGCCTGTCCTCCCAGGCATGATGGAGCAGAGAAGGGACTGCACCATCAGGAGAAATGAGGGGGAGACTCACTCACCAGCCTGGGGCTCTCCAGCAGGAAAGGCTGTAGGGGAAGAAGAACACATGGGGGCCATGTAGTGTGTGTTCAGTGGAATGGACATCTCATTATTACTCTTACAATGAGGGGATAGTAGGGGTTTTGGCTCTCTCACAGCAGCAGGTGAGACATTGGTGCCCCAGGGGTCCTCCTGAATTCAGAGGCTCACCAGCTCTGAAATAATGGGGAAGTGGTTGATGACCCTATCACCCAGCCATTGTATGGGCTTAGGCAAGTACATGGACCTTGTCTCCCCCTCTGTCCTACAGACAGCCCAGCTGCCTCACACGGCTGATCTGAGAAGTGAAAGCTCCAGCTGGAAGGAATCTCCTGTGAAGAATTCTGGTGCCCCCTCCTGCCAAGCTGGGCTTGGAGAGGGGCAGACTCTCTAGTAGGTCTTGCAGAGGCAAGTGCAGACTCTCTAGGGACCAATGTGGAGCCAGCTGCATCCATGGCAACTGCAGCAGTGAGGGAAGGGGCAGCTGGGCCTTGTGCAATGGGGGCGGACCTGCTAGGGGCAAGGTCAGGCCTGGGGTGAGACCAGAGACATAGTCAGCTCAGCCATAGTGGTTGTTCCAGCACTGTCCAATCACAAGGCCCAATCATGCTCTCAAGAGACTCACGTGTCCAACTGGATACTCTTTACTGCCTTCCACAAATGGCTGTTCAGAAAGAGAAAAAGAACCAACAGCATTCAGGACCACCACAAGCCTTAAACACCATCTGTTTGGCTCCCACCTCTCCTGCTGTGCCTGGAGGTGGGCAGGGGCCATGCTTCAGCCTTTATAGCTCCTCATGCTTCCCACATGCTTATTAGTGGTTCCTAAACCTGCCGTTTGAACATACCAGTTCCTAGGCCCCACAGCTAGGACTTACTGAATCAGAATCCCTGGTGGAGGGTCCCAGAGGTGTAGCTCCAGCTGCAGCCTGTGCCAAATTATTTGCCTCCTGGCTATTGCTCCCAGTGTCAGCCAGGCCTCACACCCATACAGACTCCTGTCATGGCTCCTGGGCCCCCTTTCTGCTATCACCTTCTCTTTCCACTCACCCCACTCACACCTGACACCTCTGTGAATGCCCTCCTGCTTGGGAATCCCTGCTGGTGTGCAAGGCTCCTCTTTCCCGTGGTCTGGGGTTGAAGACCCGCTGCCTGTCTGTCAGCCAGGCCTCACACCCATACAGACTCCTGTCATGGCTCCTGGGCCCCCTTTCTGCTATCACCTTCTCTTTCCACTCACCCCACTCACACCTGACACCTCTGTGAATGCCCTCCTGCTTGGGAATCCCTGCTGGTGTGCAAGGCTCCTCTTTCCGTTGGTCTGGGGTTGAAGACCCCAGGCCTGTCCAAGTGTCAGGGAGAAGTCAGAGGCCACCACCTCCCAGACCTTGGCCCAAAGAACTTACGTTGATGTTCAGGAATCCAACGACTGTCACCAGGATGTCACCAGATACGCCTAGGGTATCCACACGAGACAGTGGGAGCCGGTAGCGGTAGTGGAGGAAGTGCTGTCCATTCACGCTCACCTGGAGAGGCAGATAGAGGCTGGCTCACCCAGTGCACAGCACTGCCCCAGTCAGCTGTGAGCACTTTCACCTACAGTCTTCCTCATGTAACTTCACCCCAGCTCCACGAAGAGGTATGTTTTACAGAGGAGGCGCTTGCGCTTTGTGGGTCTGAGTAACCCTCCCAAGGTTGCAGAGCTTGCAGAGGAAGGTCCTTTGGGACCAGGGCACTTTCCGTGCTCCTTTCCACCCATCAGAGCACTTCCCTGGGGCCCTCTCTTGCCTTCTCAGCATCCCCACCCCTGGAAAGGAGGCTGAAGCTCAGGAGGCTGCATGACAGCCCTTATCCCTCAAGCCCCTCCTTCTCATCAGCTTCCTTATCCGCTGAAGAAACCTGAAGATCCCATCATCTTTCTAGCGGGAGTTCACACTAGAGGATTTACTGAGCTGATATGTGTTAGAGGCTTATAGCGGTGCCTGGTATACAGCAGGTGCTCTATAAGTACGTGCTATGACTGGGGCAGTACTGTGGTGACCTCTCCAGAGCCAGGCAGTATAGAGCTTTCTTGCTGCTGTCTGGGGCCAGGGCAGCCTGGAACTGGACGTGACAGCTCATTGGTCTTCTTAGTACCTCTTAGTCCCTCCCTCCAATGCCACTCAACACAGACATGGAGGATTTGGCTAAGGGAAGGAAGGATGGAAGAACACAAGTTCTAGACTCTCAGGGCTCATCCCCTTCTACTCACCTTTACTTCCTCATTCTCAAAGAGAAAGAGGATGAGAAAGCTGGCCCCTCTCTGCAGGGCCAGGCCAGGCCACCGGGCCTCAGTGAGCCAGCATTCACCGTGCCGTGTGTTGCAGATGACATGGGGCTTGGTGGTGTGGAAGCGAGGGTTGAAGTGGATGGCAATATCTGGCTGGGGACGGAGGCTGCAGCCACACTGGAAGTCCACCTGAAACCTGGTGGGAGGTGTGTCTCAGAGACCCCAAAGGCAGGCAGAAGCCCCTAGCTTGATGCCTCTAGGGTTGAGCTCCCTTGCTCACAGGGGCCACCCCCTTACCTGCGTGCATCCAGTGGGACCATTCCCTGTAGCATGACCATCTTGCCTGCATGCAAGCCACCAAAAATTGTTGTGACATAAGGAACCACCTGAAAAAGGGGAGGAACCCATCAGCCAGGGCTGTAGAAAGTACCTCAGAATCCTCATGTCAAGGAAGTGGAGAGGGAATTACAAGGCAACTCAACTTTCCCTCCCAAAGCAGAAAGTTGCTTTGTAGGAAAAATCGATTTTCTCTGAAATATTTCGTTGCATCTACTCCCCTTTCCTAGGCCTTCATACAGCAAAGCCACTTTGAACTGGGAAGCTGGTTCAGCTCCACTGCCCCTTTGGAGCACCAGTAAGCCCCTGGATGCCACCCTGGCCCCCAGGAGCCTGGTGTCGAAGCTCCCAGGGGACTGTTTAATGGCTGAAACCCAGGAGTATGGAGGCAAGAATGGGCAAGTTGAGAACTGAGACCTGACTGCTGGGCCGCTGGTGAGATAACTAACAATGGCCCACCTACCTTCTGAGTTTCATTTTGCTTCCCATAAAAGCTGCCTTCCTAAAACATGCTGCATGCTTTTGTGACTCCCAAACTTTTTGGGGCTGTTTCCCTGCTCTCCGTCTACCTTGATGCCTTCTCCAAGCATCATCCACTTACGTGCCTGAACTATCCCTTCCTTCCCTGAGCTCCCAGAGCACCTTTTGCAAAGGTCCTTAGCCCCTGGCTGATTTCCCTGGGAAGCCACGAGCTTCTCCAAGCTGCCAGCTCATCCTTCCCTTCTGCAGGCTCTGTGTCTAGCCTGGCACAGCACAGATTGTGCATAGATGTTTGCAGAATGATCGTGAACAGTGCAGAAGGTACATATTGGGCAGTATCACAAGACTGGCTTTCATGTGTTGCTCTCCAATCCTCAGCAGCCTTTAGAGGCCCAAGCCACCTAGAAAGAGCAGGCACACCAGGTCTTCCCTCCAGGTGGGAACTTGCAGCCAGCAAGCAAGGGAGCCCTTATAACCTGGGCAGCTGCTTCACCCCATAACTCAGGGGAGATGCACGGGGCTCCAGACTTGGCCTACCAGAGTGCCCACAGCTTAGCAAGGATCAGCAGTTTAGTTGTTTCCACTTATCAGGCCCTTGGCACAGCATGTAATTAACTGAGCTGATGCAGTTCTCCAGAGAGGAGAGGCCATGTAAAGTGTTAATTAGTGCTCATTAGCAGGATATGTCTGCTGGGAGTTCAGCCTTCTGTAAAGCATTGCATGCATAGGAAAGTGCCTAAGAGCTGAATGGGAAGGACAGAGGAACTGCACATTTCCACCCTTGAATTGGAGGTTCCCTTCCAGATTGGAGATGAGATTGCCCTTCTTAGTAATCAGTGTCCCCCTCATTGATTCTACCCACTCCTTGCATCCTTGTCCTACCACCCACTGCAGTAGGGGCACAGCTCTGAGTCTCTAGGCTTTACAAAGATCTGGGAGCCCAAGTCATTCATACTCAGGGGAATTAGCTGGTCAGTCACTTCATTAAGCTCAGGAGGGTCCTCCAGAACCGTGGAAAGATACTAGGGAGGCAGGCCCCAAGACTAAGGTTCTCTACCCCATTATCAGAGAGTCAGGCATGTCTCAAAGAAAGGATCCCTGACACCATGGAGGTTTCAGATTGGAGCTGCTCACCGGGTAGAAGACGGGTGGCTGCAGAATGAAGTTGTCAGGAATAGGATCCAGTTTTTCTCCAGGTGACATGAACATGGGGCAACTCCAACTTACTCAGGCTGCAGATCCTGATTCCAGGAGGTGGATTCACCTTTTCCAGCCAGGGCCCTATGTCTGGGTAGCTCTCCCGGCTGTTAGTCTCATCTGAACACTGCAGGATTCAGTGCCACTTGGAGCAGGCCTAGGGCAGTGGGTCACCGCCCTTGCCCCACAGCAGCCCAGCCCCAGCCTGGGGGGACACCGCAGAGCCAGCAGCTCTGGCTGAACTGGGGCTGTCAGCCAGACTGTGTGCTGCGGCAGTAAGCTGGCACTAACTGCTAACCAGCCCCTTTGGGTCTGAAGCACATGCCCATTGCAGAGGGAAGCCAGAGGCTGGCTCCTTTGGGGCCAATGAGGATTTGTGGTTTCTGGGGTGTCTGAGCCCTCCCTGGATCAGAAGAAGGGATGATGGTACATGTGTGCAGGTTCTAGGAGAAGCCCCACCCCCAGCTTTCTGGACAACTTTGTGTCTTCCCGTCTATTCCTTTCCTCACCACAAAGGGGTAACATCTCTTTCCTTCATTCCTCTTCCCCTTTCCCCAGTCCCCTTTTCCCAAGTTTTACAATCTCTTGAGTCTCTATTTCAGCATCAACTGGAAAGGCCAGGGCTCAGCTGGGGTCACAGGAAAGTGGAGCGAGAAAAAGGCAGGGAGAGGAGGGCACCCTTGGTTCAGAAAAGGCAGCGTAGTGCATGAAACAGGAGATGGTTTCCTGCTGTAACTTGCTGCACGTCCTTGGACACTCTGGGCTTCTCTTTGTTTATCTGTGTAGAGAGGGTGACCATAACAGTGTGTCTCACAGAGAGGTCCGTGTCTCGGGGGTAGACTCAGATATCTGTGTGTTACTAGTTCTTCAATTCTGGCTCCAATTCCAGCAAAGCTTTCCCTTTAAAAAGCAGCACAACCTCTCTAGCCTGAATTGTGAGGGCCTAGGATCTGACCATAGGGTCAGGCTTGGCAGCAGGGAATTCCTGGTAGGACAAGACTGTGCAAATAGTGAAGGGGATGGGGTGTTGGGCGAAGTGTAAGCACCCCTTAGATGAAAGACAGAGTATATAGAGGATCTCAGGTTAAGGTGTCTTAGCCAGTGGTACCTGAGCTATGGTCCAGGGCAGCATCAACATCCCCTGGAAGCTTTGTAGAAATGCATATTTTGAGCCTTGCCCTAGGCCTACTGAAGGGGACTCTGGGGGCAGGTCCAGGAATCTGCATTTAACATGCCTACCAAGTGATTCTAACACATATTAATGCTGAGAAGCATGGATTTAGGTCATCGCTGAAAAGGTTTTGGGTACAGAGCTAAGAGTTTGCTCAGATTTTGCCAGATTAGGTGGACCTGGGTTGCTGAAGGTGCTTATGTGGGGAAATCTGATCAGAGGTATGTTCAGGAAGTGTGATCTACATACACAGTGGTGGGGACCCCACAGGTTGAGAGACCTACTGAGCAGGCATGTGGAGTCCTATACTAGAATCAAATCTGGGTTGCCACTAAAGCCCCACCAGCCTGTCTTATGGCCTAAGGATAATGGTGCACTGCCCCCTCTTGGTCTCCATTTTTTTCTTCTGTGAATTGAGGCAAGAGGACTTATTACTTTGCTAGGGTGAGCAGAATAAATAACATCGACTGGGTGGTTTAAGCAACAAATAATCTGTTTCCTCACTGTTCTGGAGGCCAGAATTCCAAGATTAAGGTGTTGGCAGGTTTGGTTTTTTCTAAGGCCTCTCTCTTTGACTTGCAGAGGATGGCCTTCTCACCATGTCCTCACACGGTAGCTTCTGGTGTCTGCGTCCTAATCTCCTCTTCTTATAGAACACTAGTCATACTGGAATAGGACCCACCCATATGACCTTGTTTTATATGAATTATCTCTTTAAGGGCCAGATCATCAGTACAATTGCAAGTTGAGGTACTGGGGATTTGGGTTTCAACATATGCTTTCAATTCAGACTGTAACAGGAAAGTAGCTACAACCACCCTTTCCCTGAATCCCCAAGACTAGTGCAACTCCAGGTCTGGGGGCTGAAGAGGCCTGCAGTGAGGGAGGCAGCATGAGGAGCAAGGATGAAGCGTTTCCTTTCTCTTTTCAGTTGACCTTGGGTCTGGATAGCTGGCAGGAAACTTAGTGGGCTTAAAGCAGCTTGGTAGGTTTTCCATACTCTGGAATTAAGAGAGGGCCTTATTGTCTGTGAGTCTGTCTGGGGAGCCAGAGTAAGAGGGAGACTCTGAGAGACATCTAGGAAGGGGCTGACAGTTGCAGGGGCCAATGGCCTAGAGTGACTGTGACAGTGGCAGGGGACATCTTTTTCAACCCCTCCCTGAAAGCTGCACCCTTACTCTCAAACCAAATTCCTATATCTTTTACTTTTGCCCTGAGAGCACTTACCAAAACTCATCATTATGCATTTGAAATGTTAAATGCTGGGACCAGCAGTTAGCGTAATGGTTATGTAACTGGGACTCCCATATAGTTGACCGTGGTTCGAGTCCCAGACCCAGTGGCTTAAACTCACACTGGGCTCATGTGCGTGTGTGCCCAAGATCCTAAGAGAAGAAAGGAGGAGAAGGGATTGCACCGTGTGGCCATCTCCTGGGGGGTGATTTCTCGTTTTCTGTCTCTTTGTATCCCTCTGTCTTTCTGGCAGAGCGCATGCATCCTAGATCCAAAACCTCTCCAAAGGGACCAGCAGTTAGCGTAATGGCTATGGCGCTGGACTCCCACGTAGTCGACCGCGGTTCAAGTCCCAGACCCAGTGGCTTAAAACTCACGCTGGGTGCGTGTGTGTGCATGCCCAAGATCCCAAGAGGAGAATGGAGGAGAAGGGATTGCGGCATGCCATCCTCCCTGGGGGGTGATTTCTCGCTTTCTGTCTCTCTGTCTCTCTCTGTCTATCTGGCGAGTGCACACGCCCTATGGCAAAAACCTCTCAAAACAAAACAAAACAAAACAAAACAAAATCTCGCCCCTCCCCCAAAAAAGTGTTAAATGCTGTCTTTCTGCTCTCTCTGCTTCCCTGACTGTATGTTTCATGAGGGCAGATTTATTCTCATACTCTGAGTATGGAGCAAAATGCCCGACAGTGAGTGCTCCAGATACATTTATGGATGAATGACTAACTCATGATGGTTGTTAGCTCTGTTCAGCCTCTGCTCCTCCATCTCCCTCTTAGCAGGTATGAAATTGTGGCCCAAGCACAGAGTACCCATGTTCTTACTGGCCACAGATTATAACTGAGGCATTTTTATCTATGTCTATTAATTACCACTTAATAGTATGAGAAACATAGTCCATGGTCTATGGGATCTTGAGACGCCCCGCTTTCCTTCGCACTTTGATCCAGCTGCCTCTGTCAGTTACTGCACCAGAGTAGGCAGGATTCTCAGGGCAGGGCTAATGCATATATTAACCTTCCTGGGTCTCCAATTCTACTTCTCTCTTCTGGGTCACTGGAAACTCTCCCATGGATCCTCTTTGTCTTGGGGCCAGTTCCACATCATTCTGGAACAGAGAGTGGGATAATTAGGAGAAAGGCTAAAGGAGAATTAACACCTGTCAGGTGGCTGGGTGAGGGAGATGAGGAAAGGAGACTGTAGGGAAGTTTTGAATGTTCTCTTTTCCCTCTTAAGTTTTGGTAATCTTTAGTCTATAAGAGAAACTGACAACCAGATTAATAGGAAGACAATATCAACTTATTTACATACATTTATTTGTACAGGAGCCACACAAAATATGAGATTTACAGGAGGGGCAGCTGACTGACGGTTTTATACTGTGCAGAGCTTGGGTGTTTCCAGACAAATGTGTGGACTGGACCTGACCACTCATTGCATAGTAGTCCATTTCTGAGATGAGAGTTTGTATAGAGTAAGGATTTATTATGGGAGATATCAACTGGGACAATGGTAGAGTCCAAGAATCTTGTTTTTTTTTTTTTTTTTTTTTTTTGTAGAGAGATTTTTACTATGGGATACATGCACTTGCCAGAGAAACAGAGAGAGACAGAGGCAGAAAGCAAGAAATCACCCCCTGGGGAGATGACCACACCACAATTCCTTCTCCATTCTCCTCTTGGGATTTCGGGCACACACACACACACACACACACATGCACACACACACACATGTGTGTGTGTGTGCATGCACCTGGTGTGAGTTTTAAGCTGCCAAGTCTGGGAATTGAATTATGATCAAATATGTGGGAGTCCAGCAATGTAATAACTATTAAGCCATCTACTGGTCCTGAGTCTGAGACTTTTAAAATACTGTCTTAATAACTGAGGAGCAAGCAGGGCTTTTTATTTTATTTTAAAAAATTATTTTATTTAACTTTATTTATTTATTTTAATTTGATTGGGGCAGGGGAGAGAGAGAGAAAGTGAGAAAGCAAGCCACCAGGTCTAGGACTCGAATCGTGGTTAGTCAAGTGGGAGTCCAGCACCCTTAGCCATCATGCTATCTGCTGGCCCCAAGCAGAGCTTTTAAACACAAGTCAGACAAGTGACAATGTGAGGATCTGGGGTTAGGAATCCAGGAGCTTTCCAGAAAAAAATTCTTTTCCCTTTTTTTCTTCTTTTTTCTTTCTTTCATCCTGCCTTCCTTCCTCCCTTCTTTCCTTCCTTCTTTCTCTCTTTCATTTAATCTCTCCCTCTTTTTCTTTATAGGGCACTCGTTCTTGCCAGAAAGACAGAGAGACAGAGAAGACAAAAAACCTCCTATGAGGTGTAGTCACACCACAATCCCCTCTCCATCTCCCTCCTGCTGGAATTTTGGGCATGTATACACATATGCCTGGTACATTGCTCAAGTCTCTGGGTCCAGCCTCAACCTGCAAGGTTAGCCATGTGCGATCTGGCTGCTGTAATCACCAGGCCACAGAGCCAGCCCCAGAAGTTTCTCTGATGTCCTCTTTGATGGATGGTTTTTTAAAAAAATTTTATTATTTTTTTATTTTGGTGTGGGCAGTCTAAAAGAGGGGTCTAGAAAGAGATGTTATCATTAGGTTTGCTTACGGTAAAAATATTTGAGATAAATTTTAGGACACCTGGACTGCTCCATCTTTAACTATACACTCATAACTGCATCTTACAAAGTT